TACTCAGTGCACCCCTTGGGCTCCGACTTCAGCCCTACTCAGCCCCCTCACATGCATAGCCCTTCAGCCCTACTCTGTGCTGGGCCTCCCAAAGCTCTCCATACCATCCCCTCCAGGGTCTCTGGGACCTCGTATCCTTGCTGGGCTCAGGTGGCGCTCTGCTTGTTGTGCCCAACCCGACTGCTCTCACTCCCCAGGGTCTTACACCCTCCTCATGGGCTCGGGTGGCCGCAGCCGTGCTTGGCCTCACTAATGCCTCCAAAACCCACCCCAAGATGGGGGCTGGGGTTAAGGCGCCCTGACCCGCCTTTCACCGGGGAGGTAACTGGCCTGGTATTTCCTGGGGACTCCCGTGCCACCAGGAGCCCCACCAGGCCACTTTTCCCCGGCAGGGTGCAGTTTTAGGTCATGCCCAGGACCAGGAGCCTCCAAACCATCTCTATAAGCTCCTGCCCTTCCTTCCAAGATGCATCAAATAGCGTTTCAGCCAGGCAATGTTTCTGCCTGCCCAGCCAGCAACGAACTGCTCCGTTTATATAGGTGGCCAGAGTTAAAATGGCTGCTGCAAGCAAGCACCCGCTGGCTGTTTGGCTCAGCCCTTAAAGTGGCAGGCACCCCCCGTGCCCTGCCACCCAGATCAACAGTTCACCTCCAATGATCTACGGTGAGCAGTCATCCCATGACAGCTTTCCCAACGCTTAGTTTCTGGGGCCTGACTCTGCCCTGATTTGCACTCTGCTAAATTGGCATGCCTTGTAATTTGGAGGCTGAGTTTGGCTCAGGAGGATCTGTCACATTTATTGCTTTAAAAAAACTGGAGGTGATCAAGCCCTTGCAGGCCAATGAGATGCAGTTGGCACAAATACCTTACATTAGAGCTCCTCCAAGGGTAGGAGAGGCACCAGGGAGTCCGTTTCCCACCAGTACGGTGTAGAGCCACAATCTTTCATAGATTCATAGATTCATAGATTAAGGGTCGGAAGGGACCTAGTAGATCTTCTAGCCCGACCCCCCGCCAGGGCGGGAGAACAACAAAAACCCCAAAAAGAGAAATGGGACTCAAACGAGTCCAGCTAGGTGGGCATCCAGCCTCTTCTTAAAGACCCCCAGGGTAGGGGCCAGCACCACTTCCCTTGGAAGTTGGTTCCAGCTCCTAGCCGCCCTAACGGTGAAGTAGTTTTTGCGGATGTTCAATCTATACCTCCTCTCCAACAGCTTGTGCCCATTTCTCCTTGTTATGCCAGCGGGCGCTAGGGGAAACAGCGTCTCCCCCAAACCCCTCTGGTCCCCCCTAGTGAGTCTATAGACAGTCACCAGGTCCCCCCTTAGCCTTCTCTTGTGGAGGCTGAATAGGTTCAGGTCCCGCAGTCTCTCACTGTAGAGTCTGCCCTGTTGTCCCTGGATCATGCGGGTGGCCCTCCTCTGGACCCTCTCCATATTGTCCACATCCCTCTTGAACTGGGGCGCACAGAACTGGACACAATACTCCAGCTGTGGCCTGACCAGTGTCGCATAGAGGGGGAGGATCACCTCTTTGGCTCTACTCGAGATGCACCTGTGGATGCACGACAAGGTCCGGTTAGCCTTGCCAACCATGACCTCGCATTGTCGGCCCATGTTCATCTTGGAGTCAATAATGACTCCAAGATCCCTTTCTGCCTCCGTGCTCTCGAGTAAGGAGTTCCCCATTGTATAAGTGTGCTGCTGGTTCCTACTGCCCAAGTGCAGCACCCTGCACTTGTCCGTGTTAAAACGCATCCTGTTCCTGTTAGCCCACCCCTGTAACCTATCCAGATCCCTCTGCAATCTCTCGCTCCCTGCTAGCGTGCTCACCTCCCCCCAGATTTTGGTGTCATCAGCGAATTTAAACAGGTTACTTTCCACCCCTTCATCCAGATCGCTGATGAAGAAATTGAACAGCGCAGGCCCCAGGACCGAGCCCTGGGGGACTCCGCTACCCACCTCGCCCCAGGTCGAATATGACCCATCCACCACCACCCTCTGAGTGCGACCCCTCAGCCAATCTGCAGTCCATCTGACTGTGTAGGCATCGATGCCACAGTCACCTAGTTTTTTAACTAGGATGGGGTGAGAGACGGTGTCAAAGGCCTTGCTGAAGTCCAGAAAGACTACATCCACCGCGACACCTGCATCCATGGCCTTTGTGACCTGATCATAGAAGGCAATCAGGTTGGTCTGACATGATCTCCCCCTAATAAATCCATGCTGATTGCCCCTGAGCATCATTTCTGATGCCGGCCCCTCACAAATGTGCTCCTTGATGATCTTCTCAAAGAGTTTCCCCAGGATTGAGGTAAGACTGACGGGCCTATAGTTACCCGGGTCCTCCCTCTTCCCCTTCTTGAAGATGGGGACCACATTTGCTACCTTCCAATCATCTGGCACCTGGCCCAAGCACCACGATCGCTCATAGAGCCGTGCCAGGGGCCCCGCAATAACCCCAGCTAGCTCCCTCAACACCCTGGGGTGGAGATCATCCGGACCCGCTGACTTGAATGCGTCCAGCCCCTCCAGAAGCTCTCTAACCCGGTCCTCCCCAACCTGAGGTCTGAAGGCAATCCCCTCGAGTCCGGCTTCTATCACAGCAGGGAAGTCCCGGTCCCTGCACAAGAAAACGGAGGTGAAGAATTGGTTAAAGAGGTCCGCTTTCTCCTCTGACGCAACCACCAAATTGCCCAGCGTGTCCTGCAGGGGTCCCACATTACCCGGCACCTTCTTCATCCTCCCAATGTATCTTAGAACGGGTGTTTCCAGAGCATGAGCTACAGGAAACATTAGTCTCCCAATGGGGATGGGGATGGGCAGTGTAGCCCTGCTCCCCTTCTGGGGCCAGCATGGGTGTTGCGTGTGAGATGCACCTTATCATGTTGGTTTAGTCAGGGATGATCCTACCTTGAGCAGGGGGCTGGACAAGATGTCCTCGTGAGACCCCTTCCAGCCTTACTTTCCTTTGATCTTATGCATTTCAGAGAGATTTTTGCAATTGGCCAAGCCTCAGACAACTTCATCTGGAAAGAAGAGACACTTTCCAAGGCATCATGCCATAGGTTTAACACAGCTTGAGGAAGCCAAGCCTCTTAGCGGCTACCATGGCCACAACTGTGAAACAGGATTCAGCACATTGCCAGGCATGTCCTGTTTACCTGAATTGACAGCCCTGGGAACAGAAGGAAGCTGTGGGAACCAAAGCAAAGTCCTGATGCAAACAGTTGTATGGGGGGGATGGTGTTTGCTCAGCAGTTTAAACAAGGGGCCAAACCAGGGGACTGGCTCTCTGCAGCTGGTGAACAAAGAAAGTGATGCTTCTGAATTACAGCCCCCAAATCACTGAGGTTTGAGTAGAAGCTAGCCCATGTTCCTAATACCGAGCACTCAAGCTTGAACGTCATGGTACTCGAGCACAGGTTTCTTAACCTTCTGCAACGTTCCCCAATTAATTCTCTTTGCAGAGTACCCCAGCTGGTATAAAGCAGCATTCATTTACATCAGTTGGGGTCCTGGCACTAGGGGTTTGTTTTCAATGTTTGGTTCAGTGCAAAGCAGTTTCTTCTGGGACAAGATCAACCCATTTTGATTGCTACAGTAGAGTTTGGTATAATCCTCTCTCTTGCTTGGCGTGGTCACCGTGTCCTTAAAAAGCATCAGCTGTTAGATTTCAATAAATGATTCAGGCCAGGCTCTGGTAGGGCCCATGTCTAGATGCCTGCTGCAGAAAAAGTGATCCCTCCTCCAAGTCTTCCAGGGACTTTCCAGAGTTGAAGCAGGAGATGAAGCTCCTACAGCAGGACGGACAACCTGGGCCACTCCTTTGCTCTCCCTGGTAACAAATCTGCAGGGAATCTGAATTCTAGGTCTAGGATTTGGCAAATGACCCTGCACTTTATAATGAGCTAAGAAACAGAGAGCTCCGACTCTACACGTGGCAGGTTCAAAAACAAGGACGGGATCTAAATGAAGAGACTTGCCCTGACCCCTTGTTTTTATGTCCACTGCCTGCAGAAATGAACTGCTTTGGGGCCAGCTTGTAAATAATTTATTCCTGAAGGAGACAATTGCTTTGTGCGACTCCCAGTGCAAGTCCACTGCTTGCCAGTGGATATAAGGGCTTTAACATCTGACCCTCAGTGATTTTACCTACTGCCTATACAGCTGGAGTGACTGGGCCAGGTAGAGCACGCCAGAGATATAGTTTATAGTTTGCACTAGATGGATACACTTGTAAGAGAGACCCATGACTTCCACTTGGGATTGTTAGAGATCGGTGCGATTAAGAGGTGTGCATGATGTAAGCTGAGCAAAAGTAAATGGCTTTGTAATGGGACAAGACGACTTTATTCTCTAGCATGCCACCAATAAAGACCTTTCAGCAGGTGAGCAATGCATCCTGGCTGCTCCAGGCTCTGCCGATTGGTAGGGCAGCTGTGGGGTGGAAAGAGTCTAAACAAACATTCAATAAAAGATGGAAAACTCTCTTGTGCTAAGCACTCCCTAGGAGCTGGAAAAGGATCATTTTCTGGAATGACAGCTTTATTTGAAACAAAACCTGTTACAGTCTCACCCTTCTGCACAGGAAGCTATTGAGTTCAGATATGGCAGCACGCAGATAAGTTGTGTGACTGGCAAAATGACTAAGCCAAGGCCATCAGGCTCATTTTTCAAATTCAAATCTCAGTCTGGACTTGAACTCAGGACTGGATAGCTAGGGGAGGGGTGCACTGACTCATTGTACTTTAAAGCCTACTGACTAGGGACTGTAATTTCATTTGCTGCAATGAGCAAGGGCCTCTTGCCATACTTCCTGCTCCCTCCCAATCCTGCTCCCTCCTAGGATTTTGGTGTGGGTAAAATATCCTTAGCACATTTTTTCAAAGAGATGAGATGCAAGAAGATATCAGCCTTAATGAACATTTTCAGGCAATGTCTCCTGCCCTGAGGTCTCCTCAACTAGCAACTATCTTAAAAGCCACAAACTGTCCCAGTGATGTATTCAGCTGTTTAATATATTATACTTAATGAAATTATGCACTGCCATGGTGTGTCACAAAGCAAGTTATTACAAACAGTAATTCTCACAATTCTCTGTGAGGTAGGTAAGTAGCATTACATCCACTTTACAGATGAGTAAACTGAGGCATGGAGAGGTTAAATGACTTGCCCAAGTTCACAGAGTGAATCAGTGGCAGAGCAAGAGCAGAGCCCAGGAGATCAGACTCCCTTTCCCCCTGCTGTAACCGCTCGAACACGCTCTTGGCCGAGATAATGTAACGTGTTACTGAAACAGGACAAATACACTTACCAGCAACCTACAGTTACCATTAGCACTTGGAAACAGCACAGGCAGCATCATTACAATTTCAGTTTTAGGCAAAGTAGGGCAAGGCTGCTTGCTGACTGGAGTGGGGTTTGGGTCAGGCCCAAGCAGAGACGCATGCTGGGAGGTCACAGGGAGTTCTTTCTGCAGAGGGGTTGCAAGGTGCCAACAAAGCCTCTCCTGTTTGCATGGAGGAAAGGAGTACCTTGAGGAGCTATGGCCTGCCAAGTCTGTTGGTCCCTTCTCCTCTCGTAGCCCCGCTTCTTCCCCCGAGTCTCCCCGGGCGCTGGTGGTGGCAAGTCCCTGCAGAGACCAGCTCCGTGGCAGTCAGCGCTGCAGACTTCCTTGTGGGGTTTCCATCATCCTCCCCCCTGCAATATTCACCGCAGAACTGCACCTTCCGGATGCACCTTGCTCTCGGTAGTTATGCGGGAAGAGCGGGCAGGAATGTCTACCTCACTTGGCTGGGCTAATGATGGCGTTCATCTCCTCCGCCAGGTGCTTCCGCAGGATGTGCTTGGTGCTAGGGATGCCCAGAGCTGTCGCCATGGCTTCTGCGTTGAACGTCGGCTCTAGCACCAGCACAGCCCCGTGGACTCCGCTGTTCATCAGGTTGTCTGCATACTCCTAAAGGCAACCAAGCCATAGAGTTACCCAGCACGCAAGAGTCCTGTGCCTCCTTTGCTAGTAGCTGCTGACATGAGAGCGGATGATATCCGTGGCTGCTCTGGCTAGGGGTCGGCAGGCTGGCTGGTAGGGGTTCCTCACCCCTGCCTGACTGCTGTCTCCCCCCGTATCAATCCCACAGCGCTTAGGTCTTTTTATACTAGATACTTCCTCTGCCCGTTACCAGTCTCTGCTGATGAAGACTGAGCCTTCCAAAGGCAGAGGCTTCCCAGGCCTCACTTCAGGCGCTATCGTTTGGGGATGCAACCCAAGGAAAAGGAAGGCAAATAATGTCTCAGCCACCTCCATCAGTGAAATTCTCCCCTGTAAAAAGCACTAAGTGGTATGTGGGCCTGTGCGTTGGGGCTGCACAGGGAGGAAGGGCCATGCCTAGTGCTCACCATCTGTACAAAGAGCAGGTCCTACCTTCAGATCGATGTCCCTCACCCACTTGAGCACCCGCTGATTTGTCCAGACAAGGGGGTCGACGTTCTGCGTCTCGCAGCGAGCCCTCCGCTCTTGCAGAACCTACACGCATAAACACAGCATTATTCACAGCACCACGGTCCTTGCCACCTCCATTCGACACTTATTCCACAAAGCCCAGAGCTGTATCCTCTTCTACCATTGTCAGACCTAAGATACAGGCCAACTGTTGGGGGTCTCAGAGGAAGAGGGAACAAACAGCCCAGCATACCTGGAGTCAGTCCAAGACAATGCAGTGCAACCTGAAATGGTCACTTGCTGAATGACATTTTCCTTTTTCTCTGCTTGCTTTCCAGGTAGAGAAGGATCACTTAGAGTTGGGGAGGTAAAATCCCTTAACGTTATCTAAGCACCTCTCACCAGCAGCAGAGTTCAGCGCAGCCCACTGCCTGCCATACAGCTCAGTTTTGAATGTGCCTTGCTAGATGAGAGCTACTCCAGCAAGCCTGAGCAAGTGTGTCTCCACTCAATGCAGCTGCTGGGCAGAAAGGCTATATAATATATATAAAGCAAGGCCAACTGAAGATGAGGATGCTCTGTCCCAGAAGCAACTGAACCACAAGAGCTGGGAGCACAGAGTGCTTACTCCACAGACACTAGGATTAGCCTTGGCTAGAAGACCCATCCTTCGTTATACAGACGAGCAGTTCCCCCTGAATGGGACACCTGGTATACCAAAGCCAGCCACGCTGCCTGGTTTAACCATTTCTCTTCTCACCTCCTTGCTGAAGTTGACTTGAAAAAGCAGCTCTATTCCCAACAAGATGCTGATCTGGTGGAACCTTTTGGACACATTAAGGTGCTTTTCCAAATCTCGTTTCATCAGTGAGTTCAGCATCCGTCCATCAATGAGATGATTTTGGAAAGCTTGGGAGTACTGAGACAGGCCGATGTCATTCAGCCAGGCTTTGGCTACCCAGTGGTGATCCAGCTCAGAGGCTTTAGACAAGCTGAAGAGTGCATAGGAAACAGGAGGGATAAGGATTAGATCCGAGTCATGACGTATGATGCTTCTGCCACCCAGTGCTCAAAATCACACGTCCTTAAGCCTGGTGTGGGATCAGGGCTTCATTTATTGCTACATGTCTACATTTGCTTTAAAGTCTACGGGGGAAATTATTTGTACTCCCATCATTAAAAAAACCCCAGCAGAAAGTCTGCTGACTTCTTAGCTTCTGTGTTGATCACTGCCATTATCCCCCATATAAAAAAAATCTAGTGCTGGGTGCATGAAATTATTCAGGATTTCCCATTGCCCTTGAAAACATTTCTGGCATCACCCCCACTATTGAGTATGCCCTAGCTACTCAGTCGCTGGCCACAGGATGTCAGCATTGCAGCACAGAAATCCTCTAATGAGGCAGTCGGGGATGTATTATATGAATGGGATAGTGAAATCCACCCCCTTCTAATGTCTGCTTTATATTTGGGGATGAGTCACAGTATCCAGGGAAATATGCCCACATTGGTCACTAAACTCCTCCACCAGTGACCAGGGTCAGGCACACATCAGAGGTGAAAGGAAAAGTAACTCTGAGTCTGCTCTTCATCCCGCTCACCCTGGATGTACATGAACATTAAGGGAATTACTTGCAGCCTGTTGGCAGCCGCCTTAAAACTGGATGGGAGATGCCCAACGGCTCCGGCAAGGGGCTCAATAGCATTACCTTAATTAATCTAGCCTCACCCTCTCTTCCCAGCTCTGAAGTATGTAATAAAGCAGAGACCTAGCAGAAAAGTCTCCTGACATGAGAGTCTTTCTTATTTCCCCTCCTTGCAATAGTAAATGCAATGCTAATTTAGAGCATGCCGTGTTAATTAGCTGCTTGCTTCTCTTAACTCTCAGGAGACGGGGCTTCCCAGAACAAATCTGAGTGATGGGCAACAGCAGAAAACTTCCTAGAAAGCAGGTAGAGCAGAGGTTCACACCTGGTTAAGGTCCAGCATTTATTTGCAGACTATCGTCTGCCCCAGTAACGCAGGGAAAGAGCTGACACTGAACTGCCGCTCACCATGGCAGCTCCTCCCCGATGCATTTTTTGAGGACAGCAAGCAGGAGCCCTCTTGGAGTCTCAGGGGGTGCCAGACCCCTGTGTTGCTGCCCAAATTTCTATCTGGGATCCTGTAGCCAAAGAGCACCCCCCCTTCTTGGAGCCACGTGCCGGCAAATGAGGGGCAGGACTCATCCCCACGCACGACTCCTCCCCTGTGCAAACGGTGACCGGGATCTCTGCTAGGAATGGGAAGTGGTGGAAGCCCCCTGCTTCCAATTCACCCGCAGGCTGAGAAGCTGAATTATACCATGCAGCCACCAAGCATTAAAAAGCCATACAGAGTCATGGATGTCACTAAGCCCTGGATGACTTAGAGCCTGGGATTAATACCCCAAAGACTCTCCCTTTGCCTGAAAAAGGGTGTTTGTACCCTTGCAAAGAACAATTTTCCCAACTATTTAATTAGTCTAATAAAAGAGATCACATTTAGCCAAAGAACTTTGTCTGCCGATGTCCGTAGACCAACATGGCTACAATTAAGACCCCCTAAAGCTCAGGATCAAGGTAAAGCTAAAACTAGCCATTTCCAACCCAGCTACAGGTCTAGAGAAGATACGGTCTGATGTAGAAGGGAGCTATGCGGGGTTGTAATCTTGGCAAAATCTTGCTCTACTTTGCTTTCTTTTCCTGACTTGCTAGTGACGCCCATGCTCACATCTCACTAGGCCACTAAGGGGGCTTTTTCTTGTCTTCTCTCTTTTTTTCTTTTTGATTTGGTGGCTTTAAATACAAGAAACAGTTTGATTTATTTATTTTTTTCTTTTTAAAATCAGCTTGGCCAGCTCTGTGAGAAGCAGCACCACGCTCTACACTTGACTAATTAACTGAGCAAAAATGATGGGGAAATCACCGAGGGAAATAATTATGCAAAACAAAAGCCCCAGTTTGGTTCAAGTGACTTTTCTCTCGCACTGAGCCCAGCAGTATGGATTCTTCCCCGGCATTTGTTTTTTACTTTTTTTTCACTCTTTCCTTTTTTTTCCACAGAAAATTTAATCTCTCTTTGCCTGACTTCTGGAGACAGATAAGTGTGCACGTGTGTACATACACCCCCACTCCCACCCCAAGGAGGTTTTAAGAAAAATGAACTTGTTTTACAGAATACAGCAACTGTAAGCTGTAAAGGTCAGACTAGCATCAGGCAATGCTGTGGGAAGCAAAACCAGGGTAAAGGTTTGAGGGCGCCAAAAGTTGTTATGAGTTGTCCTTGAAATGAAAGAAAAATACAGCTGCAGAAGCTTTAGGTAACCATGCCTTTAATATGTTTTAGCTTTACTTTTTTTGGTATTGGCACAAATTAAAAGGCATAATCAGATAGGCCAAGTAGTATAAATAATGGCTTAGGATAGTATAAAAGGCGGGTTATTTTGTGATTCTCATCACTGAACTACCAACCGCCAAATCCACTATATTTTGTTAACATGATGTATTACTTTTCACGATTTGTTATTCTTTGATTTTGCTCTTACCACATAAAAACTCTAATTTAACATGCAAATTTATCTAATAAGGATCCTTCTGGGAGGCTGTGTTTGCTTTCAGCATTGCTGCTTTCAGTCTTTTAGGGTCCGAAAGGATTAATCACAGCCAATTCCAGCTCAGCATGGTACGATAATGCTAGTGTAGGTATTTAAATAAAAGGGGAAAAATAACTGAACTGGCAACAACACCCATGCGCAGCAGTGCATGCATTCCTCCCACATGCCCTTTGGCATGTACACAAACATGCACATATGCAAAGCTCCACATGCACACGTGTAAGTATAGGCATGCACATACACATAAGCGTGTGCAAACCTAAGTGCGTGTGGCCATACATATGCGCACATCAATTAATACAGAGTGAAATTCTGATGCCCCGAGGAAGTCCGTACCATCTGCCTGCCTCCGCGTCTCTGTAGTCTTCTATTGCCAGTCGAAGTTTGCGGCGGTGAAGGGAGTTACACACGCCAAGCTCTGTTGCCAAATCTTCATCGCTCAGAGTTAACAACATCTGTGCTCGAAAGGAAAAAAAAACAAGGCAACCATGGACTTAGGGACTCAGGTCTTGCATGATGGCAATGCAATATACTTGTTTTTACGCCACGTGGTTCCTAAAAACCCATCCCCACATGGTTTCCAAACTTAACTAACTAAATCATTGGGAAGAGAGGAGCAAGACATTCAGGGTCTTATCGGAGGACCCAGGTTTTGTTCTCGGCTCTGCCACCAACTTCCAAGGTAACTCTGGGCAAGGCACTTCGTCATTTGAAACCGGAGTTTCCCAGTCTGCAATACAGGAGTAACAAGAGCATCTACTCCATCATACCACTGTGAGGATTAACTCATTCCTTTGAGAAGTACAGACTACAAGGAGGAGCATCACAGAAGAAGCGTAAGGATGCAGATCAACTAGAGAGTGAATAGCAGGAGTGGATACAACTCAGGGGGAAAGCTGACGGGGCAGCTGGGAAAGGAGGTGCAAAGAGGTCAGGGAAGGCGGCTGCAAGCAGCAGACACCGCACAGAAGTCTTTTCTCTCAGCCCAGATTGCATATAGTGAGGAGATGGAGGAGGAGGCCAGGAACTGCTGGACAAGGGAGCCATCATAATCCCCTGCGCAGGCTCGAGCTGCAGCGTATGGACCCAGTTTTAGCAACCGAAGCCCCTCCAGGTGCAGAGATGGGCAGACTGTCATGCCCTGGCTCTGAGCCGTCCCCATTCTTGGCAGAGGGCTAGCAACGCGTCAGACATTTAAGTGCCCAGCTGATTCTCTTACCTTCCCGCTCTTGATATTCTCAGCGCAGGCCTTGACGTACATGGGCATGGCCATCACCACCTCCAGCCACGTCTGCACGGTGCTGGCCTTCCACTGAGACATGGGCGTGGTGCGGACCAGCTCCACCTGCTGCAGCCGGTCGACCTGCTCCTCCCCTTCCGACAGGCTGAGGCTCAGGCGGGTCGGGCTGGACAGGCTGTCGGAGTCTGAAATACAAGGCAAACAGTGGAGATGCAGCTGGATGGCCAGCCAAAGGAGCCCC